TCAGTATGGAATTTATAAATTTCTTTATATTTTAGTATATAATATAAATGCAAAAGGGCCAATCATTGAGGGGTTCCCCTACCTAACTACAGTTGCTATTTCTTCTTTCAAATGAAGTAATTCATACTAGACTATTCAAAGCAGTTCATTATCCACACCAAACGTTCAACCGATTAGTTTTTGCAAATATAAGTTAATCCAATGCTTATTAAGTTAAGCATTAGAAATGATAATTAATCATATCACATAGTTACAGTTTTTGTTATCCCTTCTTAAATAAAGTCATGGTTAACCTATTAGGTCATCCCCCTGCGCCGTAGCAGAGGTCTGGCAGAATACTTTCAGAGTTACCACAAGTTAAATTGAGAATAATAAGAAGAATTAAAGCAATCCCAGAAGTAGATGATTTATAAAATGTTTATAAACGAACATCAATATTATAACATGTAGGGGAGAAGGAGGCACCTTAACACAGAGGTAGATTTGAATATGTGCATTTCTGAACGTTTACATTTACGTTAAACTATGCCGCAACTACATTTTAATATTGGCAGCACTGGCTGTGACAAACGTCAAGTAATAAAGCGCGCGCGTTTCGTTTTCAAAAAGATTTATAACCTGTCGTCGTATTTGTACCGGTGAAGTAAAAAATAAAAATAAATGTTGTAAGGAATTTACTATCACGTGGCCCCCTTGGGGAGGCAGATTTGAACAAATTTGTGTTTTAAAAAAACACATTATTTCACTTTAACGTTTTCAGCAAATTCAAACATTTCATCATTTTTATATTAACAAAGGAGTAAGTAAGTAGCTAAGAAAACTATGTTTTTTCAATTTCTCTTTACAGTTCATTTTTTATGAGTCCAAATTTGAAAAATGTGCTAATGTGCCTCCTTCTCCCCTCGGTCTTCAATAATATAACACCTCCGTTTATTAAAATAAAAAATAATCATTAGGGAAATGACTGGGGCACTACAATATAATATTTATATTTTTTAAGAGATATTTTTATGCTGGTATGTTGTAAGAATGAGACAAAGAGACTTTGTTGTGATTATCTACGTAAAATGGACTTTAATATTTGAACGACAAGGTCCTGATTATTTATTAACTCCAAGCACTCCGTGTCACCATGGTCTCTCCTGTCAGATCTCCTTTTTTTTAGACTCTCCCATTTTAGTGAAAGCAAAGACATCAATGCACGTACAGCCTAGTCTTTTATTATATTAATCTTCTTTTTTTTACAGTACATTGTCGGTGTGACACATTCTAATGTTTCTTGGAGTGTTTGTCACGAAATGTATCGAGTTGGCTTTTTTGATAAGCTTCTGTGAGGTATTCAACACTACAATAAAATTCTCTCGTCCACTTGACCAAAATAGCGAATATTTAAAAGATTCCACTAATTCTTCAGTTGCGCAGACGGTTGTAATACAAACTCACAACAAAGGAGACCCGGCACTTTTTATAGAAAAAATGCTAAACTTGTATACAGTTGAATTTGGTCTCAAAATAAAGCCAAAATTATTTGCTACATAAAACTACTTTTGCCTTATTTTTAGTGAATCGTGGAAAGAAGTTATTTAATGATTAATATTTTTTGATATAGAAACCCTTTCGATGACAAACCTACGTATTTGACATTGACAGCTAGCTGCTGATGACAAACATTGCCAGACTACGTTACCCAATTATGAAACACAGATAAAAAAAATAAAAAAGTATACAACATTGGCACAAAATGCCGGGTGTAATTTATTTCAGATCCACTCAGAGGCGGCTTTACCTATAGTGCTCGGTGTGCGGTGCACACGGGCGCCGGGTCTATGGGGGCGCCGGCGCCGGGCGCCCAGCTCCCTCTTCTCTAATACGACACCTCTAAAGATGCGTGCGTCGTCGCTCGCGGAACACCTTTCGGACGATGCCGCGGTTGCAAAGCAAGCGTGCCACCACAAGTTGCGTATTTACCTACTCTACACAACTACTTTTATTTCAACGTGAAATCAGCTTTAAAACAGAATTAAATATTATAGTGGAGTACTGTCGCATCACTACCAAAGGCGGGGGCCGGCACCTGCTTTCGACTCGTTTGAAAACACGTTCATTGCTAACTCGGCTGTATTAGAATGACTAAAAGTTCAAATTCAAATAGCAAGGGACGCTGTTGCGGTAATTTTCAAAGGCTTTCTGTACGAGAGCCGCAAATTTTGTTTTACCTTTTACCGCTACACCGTAGTTTTGCAAAATAAACCTTAATTAAATAAATTAAGTATCAGCTTTGAGTAAACATGTAATCGTATAAAGTAAGTCGGCTATTCTTTTGATAAAATATATATATTCGATGTGATTTGGTTAATTTTTCAAACAATTATTGCGACATGCATCTAGTACAATCAATCTGCCGAAAAAAATATCGTTTCAGTGAAAAAAAAACCTAAAGGGTAAGTCTTGTTTTTTCTGTTGCCAAATGACGTCAGTAAGCCACCTTGGCGATGGGCATGTTCAACTCGTAGGCGTTTTTTGAAAAACTCAAAAGAACCCTCAAAAAATTATTGAAACGCATTTTTCTTGTTTTGTATGCATTTTAGAAACTTTTTGTTTCGACCATAATTGTAGAGGGCGTTGAGTACTACAATTTATGTCATTGTTGCAATCTCGTACAACAAAAACTGCGCATTGTAGGTGGCGCTAAAGTCTCAAAAAAAGTGTTTTTTCACTTTTTCACCCTGAAAATATCATTTTAATGGAAAACTTTAAATGACAAAGTTGTTCCGTACATAATTACCAACAACTTTTCTATAAACAATTTTTTTGTATTACTTACCGTTTTCAAGTTATAAATTGCGCAGGTATGAAAAATCCAATAGAGCGGTTTTGGGCAGTTCAAGTACACATTTGCAGTGCACATTTCAAGTACGTTTTTTTTAACTATTTGTTTTTCATGATTGTAATAATGAAAAGAAAAAGTCTCCATAGGACCGAAAAAATTACCGTTAGTAGCACTGTGTTGTATACGTAGCGCTGTATTGCACTGTAAAGCGACCGACTTCATGCTGTTACTTTTGCGTTTACCGCACATTAAGAAAATCTACCAACAAAATAGAAATAGAATCTCTATTTAGTGGGTGCTAACGACTGCATTGTGAAGGCCTATCAAAAGTATTTATTAATCTGGAACCAAAGCGCGATTCAGGAGACTACAGCGCCATCTCTTGACCATTGGTGTAGTAGAACCAAAAACCACATCTTTATTTTTTGTAATAAAGTAACAGTTATAGGTATTCATATTTATAATATTTATCCACATGTTTCTAGTTTGTATATTCGGATTACGTGTTTGAGTTTCATACAAGTGCAAATCACATAATATGTTCTAATAAATTATATTCAGTAGCGATTTTAATTGAATATTTTGATTATTTATTTATTTTTTCACATTAAAACTGAACTTTATTGACTGTGTCCTTTTCCAGACTTTTTATTAATATATTGTAATTAATTATTTGCATGCAATTAAAAACTAATTTTAAACGATGCCAAAGAAGGATAACTTCTCACGCGCCTACATAAGTACACGCACCCATTTTTTATGAAAATACATATAACTGTAAGTATTCCATTTTGACCCCGCTCCTACTAGGGGGCGCCAGGGTACTGGTGGCACACAAGGGTTGCTTTCCAATTACAGCATTATAGCGCATTATGCGGCATAATGCTTAAGGGTGCGGCCAGAGTGCACTCAGATTCAGAGTCCGATTCAGATTCTGAAAACAAGCGCGAGAAATAAACAGTGTAGTCTAAGCAGGTTGCCTGCTTTTTCTCGCGCTTTGTTTTCTGAGTCTGAATCTGAATCTGAATCAGGAGTGCAATCTGGCCGTACCCTTCGACTACACTGTTTATTTCTCGCGCTTGTTTTCGAAATCTGAATCTGAATCTGAATCTGAGTGCACTCTGGCCGCACCCTAACGTTGAGTGTTCCAATTACAGCAACGCTTCGCACAATTGAGCACTCTCAAAAGTGATGCTTTCGTATGATGCGTGCAATCGTACCAACTTGGAGACAGAAAATTAACAAGTGTTTTTTCTTTAAGTTGGCATTGATCGAAATGTTTTATTTATATGTTATCGTTTGTAATATTATTTATTGTTGAAAAATTATTAAAGCTTTCGTTTCATTCATCATCATCATTCATCAATCAAAGTTCATTCAAACTGTTAAAAAATAAATATATGTATGGATGAAGGTACAAACATTGACTTTTTTTTTCAACACTGAACTTAGCGCACTCTGCTGGTGCATTTGAAAACTAATTCACGTTCCAGTTAAGCATCAGCATAATTGGGCATTGTGCGGCACTGAGTCGCATTATGCTCTGTAATTGGAAAGCAAACAAGGGCTAGAGCCGCCTCTGTATCCACTATCAACGAATAAAGACTGTCAGATCTCCTCTTTTTTTATACATATTCTACGGCTTTGGAGTTTCCCATATTGGCCAGTCATTAGTGATAAGTCATCTATATCTTGCAAATAGTGCTTACGATGAATTCAAACAGTATTTCATAGCACTCCTGGTTCCCAATGATAGATGGCAAGTGATTGGGGATATCGTTATTTTTGTATAAGCAATCTATTAAAATAAGCCCCTGTAAGTCGAAAGCCCTGCATTCCAGTATGTGTTCAAATGTTTTCGTCCTGACTCACAATAACGACACTTGTTATCGTCTTCCAGACTTATTCTGTTCAAATGCGGTCGAAACTAACCATGTCCCATTCGTAGTCTATTTAAAGTTGTAATGAATTTTCTTGTAGGTTTTTTTAATTTGAAGTACCATGGCTTCTTGGGTATTTCATTTTGTATGCTTGCATACCATGCACCTTTTTCAATTTGAGTTCTTCCCAGTTTTCTACCTCGATCTACTCGTTTCACCATAGATAATATAAAATATCTGTACATTCATATTCTGCGCCCCTACATTTTTTTTTATTGTCTTTAAATAAAATGGCAGGTGATGAAAGTGACAGGTTTGTAAATATTGTTGAGCAATTTATTTTATTTTTAGAACGTACCTACTGTTTTAGTTTTCATATTGTATTTTCTAGACAATACCATTGCATATTCTTACAAATAATTTATTTAATAATTTGTCATAACAAAATTCTTACAGTGATCTGAAGCCATCAAGTGTCGCTATCATCAGAGAAGTTTACGATAGTGAAAATGCCCACATTAAATTTGAAATGGAATTGGAAAGAGCACTTGAGGCCGGCGTAAGGGTAATAGTCATAGAACCTGAACCACTTGGAGAAGAAACTGCGAGGTGGATATACGTTGGAAATCTCTTACATAAAATCTCTGTTTACAGTGGACTCTGCAGTATTGCGTCAGGTCTGTACTGTACTTTAGGTACAATGTATTAAAAAACTTCGTTTGACTGACTGATTGGATATTAAGTCAACTTTATAATACAATAGAAATGATAATCTAGAAAACCACTAGAGGCACTGGCCATTTCACTGTCCCTGCTTTAGGTTCTCGCTGCTCCAATGCTGATGATCCTGTAAAGGTTCTCTAGGGCGACTCTGAAATTTTTGCTTTGAATGGAACAGTTTCAAAGATAAAGTTACTAATGGAACAACTAGAAACAAACTTGTTTATAGCAGGTCTGGTGTAATAAGCGTAAACAAACTTTACAGGATTAACAAAAAATTGTATATCTTTTGTTCTTGGTTACATATTTGAAGTATTTCTATGAATAATACAAACTAAATAAAAGCATAAAAGAGTGGTATGTAGTAAAATCTGTTTTATTATTACGCCTTATATATTGTATAGGTTTTATATTCTGTAGAATGTAATAACTTAGTAACATTTTATAACAACTTAACACCTCTATTGCCCAATAAATCTATTAGTAATATAATGTTGCATCTTTTAGTTGTTTTGAATTATTTGAATAATTATTTTTTATAATAATATATTAATTTGTGTTTTTTTGGGTATCAGGAAGACAAACTGAATTGTGAAATAACTTTATAAAAACACATTTTTGGACATTTATACCTATTCCATGAGACCTGCAATATAGATGGTAAAGATCTAGTTGATCCTTATATTTCCTAACTGATTTATGAAATAGTTGAGCTGTTAGTAAAAGTTAATCAGTTAGTTTTACTGATAGAAATGGAAAAAAGGCATCCAGTATTCTTCTTCTTCTTCTTCACGGTGGGTGTTTTCCGCAACTCGACACCAGGTGCCTATTTTGCGTGTGAGGATGGCCTTAGTCGTGCCATCCCAGCTCCCCCAAGAAGCTCAGCAGTCTTCTGATGTCGCCGCAGGCCTCGAGTAGCGTCTGCGGGCTGCCCAGGTGTGTCATCCGATGTCTGGTCACGCCTCTGCACTGCAGCAGGACGTGAGTGCTCGTCTCCTCTTCCTCCATGCAGGCTCTGCACAGAGGACTGTCCGAGACACCTATTTTAAACAGATGTTTATTAAAGTGTCCGTGTCCTGTGAGAATACTCACTATTTGTTTCAGAGTTGGTAACTTGCAAAACTTACTTGCTAGCCGTGGGTCTACCTTAGGTATGGCCTCCCTGGCGTGCCAGCAGTCTGCAAGTCCAACCCAGTAATCGTTGTGTTGTCGCAGGTACCGTTCCCTAATCCAACTTTGCAGCAGCTGGTATGGGATCGGTACGATTGGTTCTGGGCCATATACCACAGTGTCCGACCCTCTCCTGGCCAGACAATCTGCTGCATCATTGCCCCTTGACCCACTATGTCCTTTTATCCATTGGAGTATGACCTCGTTTTCTCTGCCTACCTCCATGAGTTTGCAGTGGCATTCAAAAACCAAGCCGGACGTCATTACATTGTTGTCTAGCGCCTGGAGTACCGAGGCACTGTCAGAGAGTATCCGGATGTTTCTACCCCTGATTGCACGTTTTGTGATGGCCTCCGCTGCTCTGACAATGCCTATACTACTTTTTTTGGGCGGTAGGCGAAAAATAAATAACATTGTTTCTAAAATTTTTAATATTTAATTAATTGTAGAAACACAGTGTAGTTTTTATAAATTCTTTATAAATCAAAGGAAGAACTTACGTGTGTCAATATACATTGTGGGTAACACTTTCTGATGGTTAATTAGATAGTTACACCACACTTCCCTACCATCACAACTACTCTCACTACAACACTATATTTTTGCTGTTCAACAATAATTACACTTGGAAAGAAGCCATGGCAAGTGTTGCAGCAGTCTTAGAAACTCAAAAGTCCCTGGAGTCATTGCTGATGAGGAAGATGAATGACCTTGAAAACCAACTGAAGTCATCTTCTTGTGACAAGAATAGTGATAAGGTGATACAGGTTCAGGAGGAGTTCAATAGCTTTAAGGAGGTAGTCCATAATATACTGGTCCTGTTGCGTCAGCAAATCAGCGAAGTAATGAAGTCCGTGGATGCAATTGAGACAAGGCATCGTCAAAAGTGTCTTCTGCTCAGTGGTGTGCCTGAGTTAGCTGACAGTGATCTGACAACTGATGTCATTATGCTACTGCAGAAACATCTCGGTATTGCTGATATCACCAGTGTAGACATCAAGTATTGCTACAGGTTGGGCCGGCTCTCTGAAGGACGTCCTCGCCCTATTGTTATAAAATTTACATCTTCTCATATCAGATCACTTGTGTGGAAGAGAAAGACAAAGCTGAAGGGCTCATCCTTGGTAATGCATGAATTTTTGACAAGGAATCGGCAAGCTGCTTTCAGGGGTGCAAGAGAGTACTTCGGCCTAAGTAATGTGTGGACGTCAAATGGTCTGATTTCAATTTTGACTCCCGACGGCGCCAGAGTACGTATTGTCTCGGTAGATGAACTCGGCATGATCACCGCCAAGTTTCCCAAGCCGTTCCCTATTGCTGCTGCCGTAGTGCCGGAGGCGGACAACACTGCTGTTGCTGCTGCTGTGCCTGAGGCGGGTAATGCTCAGTCTTCTAAAACAGTGCAGACAAGACCAAAGCGTGTCAATAGGAACGCCAAGTAATTTATTTAGTCTCCTTAGAGGGGGTGCACGATCTGATTCATAGTATTTACATTAGCATTATGTCCTTTTTGTATTATTGTTATTATGCATAATGCAGACCAGTGGCTGAGTTTTAAGTTTCTATTATTTTATTAGTTTTCATTAACGTTGGTATCTGTTTTGTTTTTAATCGTCCACTAAGTTTGTTTAATTAATTTATAATAATACTTTTTTTTTTTTTGTTGAAGTTCTCCCGTTTTAGGGAAGGCAAAGGGAACAATGCCCATACAGCCTGGTCTTTAATTAAATTTATCTTCTTTTTGTTTTTACATTAGAATGTCGGTGTGACGCATTCTAATGTTTCTTGGAGTGTTTGGCACGAAATGTATCGAGTTGGCTTTTTCGATAAGCTTCTGTGAGGTAGTCAACACTACAATAAAATTCTCACGTCCACCTGACCGGAATAGCGTATATTTTAATGATTCCACTAATTCTTCAGTTACGCAGACAGTTGTTACACAAAACCACACCAATTTTATTTCACAATATCCACAATGAACGAATTTAAGAATAATTAAAATAAGACGCCAACCGCACTCGATGAAATCCCGCCAAAACACCTTATAATAATACAATTTTTGTGTCAATGACAGCTGTACACATTTTATTTTAATTCTTGCAGTTTCTTGTGTCAGGTAAAGGACATAACGTTTATACAGCCTTGTCATATATGCATTTTTTTTTATGTTTTGTGTTGTTAGGATCGTGCACCAAGTCTTTAATGATTTTATTTTATTGTTAAAATTAGTGTACTGTAAACAGTCAACTGGAGGGTTGTGTGGACACCGATGGTGGTGTTATTTATTGGCCATAATTTGTAGTATGTCTTAAAAATTTATTATTATTTTGTGTCTATATTTTTATTCTATTGATATATATATAGGAACATATATTTAGTTATATTTATTCATATTGATATCGATGTCAGACTCGGAAAGTTACTTTTCAGCTAGTGATAATTCTTCATATCTGTCTCTTAATGATACTATCGACGATTCTTGCGATCTCAATACTTCACTAAACCATGTATTCTCCAGTTTTTGTGATTGTTTTAATGTCTGTCACATCAATGCTCAGAGCATTCCTCGGCACTATACTGACCTCCTTCATACCTTCTCTTCTGATACGGTTCATGCCGTCTTGGTGTCAGAAAGCTGGTTAAAGCCATGTCTTAGTACAATTTCCTACAATCTCCCAGGGTATAACCTTATTCGTAATGACCGGAATGGCAAAGCTGGTGGCGGGGTTGCCATATATTTATCAAATGTTATACCTTTCAAACTCTTAACATCCTCTGCCTATCGTCTCGACTCCATAGAATATCGTTTTCTTGAGGTCACCGTTAAAGGAGTTAAAATCATCCTGGGAGTTGTGTATTGTCCTCCCTCCATAAATTATTTCGCGGACTTTGAATTGCTTCTCAATTCTGTCGCTACTGACTACACTCACCACATCGTCATGGGCGACTTCAACACTGACCTTCTAAAAGATAGCGCCCAGTCTCGTAAGTTTAGATCCTTAATTGAGTCGGTCAACTTCTCAATTCTTCACCTTGAACCAACTCACCATAATCATACCACTTTGGACTCATGGATCGATCTCATTTTAATAACTTCTCATGACCGTGTCATTAAACATGGTCAACTTCTGGCACCTGGCTTCTCCAGACATGACCTTCTTTTCCTAGCATATAAAGCTAAACCTCCAAAGTCTAAGCCTCAAATCGTCCGAATGCGAAACTTTGCGCGACTGGATGTGGAGAAATTGAAAAGTGATGCGAATTGTATAGACTGGAAACCCCTTTGCGAGGCAGCTACGATTGATAACATGGTCTCTTATTTTAATAATGCCATCACAAGACTTTTTGACCGTCATGCACCTAAAAAGTGCGTCAAATTGAAACGCCCACCTGCGCCGTGGATTACTGCTGGTGTTCGCATGGCCATGCGGAAGCGTAATAAGTGCTTTCGTACGTACAAACGGTGCCGCACTGATTACAATTGGGAGGCTTTTAAAACTGCCAGGAATCGCTGCAATCAGATGGTGAGAGCTGCAAAACGCCAATTCATTCATCAGAACATTTTGAATTCAAGTCCTGCCAATACATGGAAGTTTCTACGATCTCTCGGTTTCGGTAAATCCTCTCCTAAACATATCTCTTCTGTTTCACCTAATGAACTTAATAAGCATTTCTCGTCTGTCCCTTCTCTCCCGACTTCAGTTACTCTTTCTACAGTTTCTGCTATCACTTCCATGGCTCCTTCTACAAACGATTCTTTTTGCTTTCGTCCTTTGACCGAAGAGGAGGTTCGTAAGATCGTGCTCTCCATAAAATCCAAAGCAGTCGGTTGTGATGACATTGGAAGGGCTATGATTATGTTGATACTTGAATGTATACTTCCAAGCCTTACATTTATTTTAAATTTTTTTCTTACTTCAAGTACCTTCCCTTCTATCTGGCGACACTCTCTTACTATCCCCATTCCTAAAAATACCACACCATCCTCTCTAAATCACTACAGGCCCATATCAATATTACCTTTTCTATCTAAGATTTTAGAAAGTGCTGTACATAAACAACTGTCTACTTTTATCTTTCGCCATAACATACTTAGTCCTTTACAATCTGGGTTTCGACCCGGTCACAGTACAACCACTGCTCTCCTTAATGTTCTGGACGACGTTCGGAGCGGCATGGAGAAGTCGCGGTTGACAATAATGGTCTTGATCGATTTTTCTAACGCATTTAATATGGTCAACTACGACATTCTCCTTGCAATCCTTACTCACATGGGAGCCTCTTCTTCGGCGAGGACCTGGTTCTCTTCGTATCTTCGTGGACGCCAGCAGGCTGTTCGAATCGATCAGACTATTTCAAGCTGGGCTGATAT